AATACCCTGTAAATGTTCTGATAATTCTTCTTAATTATGTTATATACTTGTGCTAAGATATATATATATATGCATATATGTATATATATATTGTATACATATGTATGACCCAATTGACACAATCTCGATTTATTGCCATTGTGTGCGAATCTTGTATCACACTTCGTCTTGGCGGAACTCGTTCTTTGTTTCATTCGCAGGGAAACGCCAGTTATACAAGAGTCAAGTGAGTCATTTGCTTATCATAAACATATTCATAATGCGCTCGCGCCTAGCATACGCATGTTATTTATGTACAAATTAATACCCTAAATACCCACTAATCAGAGTGGAGCACGCTGGCAAATCGAACACACACGCATTTCGTGATCCAGTTAAGTATATAGCATATCAGATACGCTGACTCGTAATCAACAGTCAGCTTCAATATGATTAATAGAATTATGACTGCGTCAATATTTTGATTTGTTTCTGATTTATGAGTTTGAAAACTAAATAAATGCTAATAATAATAATGGGACGGCTGGTTTTCTGTCTTTGTGTACCTCCAATTCCATTCGTAATACAAGTCGACGGATGATGTCATGATCCAGACCTAAAACCAAAAGCCCGGCTCACACTCACACTCACACACACACGCATACTGAATTTTTTGAAGCGCTGAGCTCAACTCTTGCTGCTGTCTATGTGGATCATTAGCTCACCGGTTGGCGGAATGCCTCTATTTATTTGTTCTCTTCCATACGGAAATTCATCAACTCGCTCTGCTCACTGAATTCTGACTTTTCCCACTCGTAATCGGAGCTATGAGCTCATCTTTGATCACCATTGAGTACGCCATTCGCGTACGTCTCGCCACATGCGTATATACTCAAATTTTCCAATACGTACATAAAATACCATTAAATAGAGGTAATGTTTATGGTGACCTAAGCGGTCGTGCTCGACATTAGCGAACCCTATAATAACACTGATCGCTGCACAATCATCTTGTAGAAATATGAATGTCAAAGAATCTTAATAGGGTGGCTAATCCTGAGTCGTTAAGAGACCGTTTAATTTTGGTAATCTTGATGAATACAGGGCTTAAATATGGTATCGCGTACTTTGTGAATTGAATAACAAACTAGTAATGCAATTACTACTACACTTTTATACTTATCCAACAAATATAGGGTATACATACTGTAACCTTAGCCTTGGCAGAAAATCGAATTCTTTGATTCTTACTTAAAACTTCAATGCATGCTTTCGCAAATCCAATAAAAACAGGGTATCCGAACTATAGAATGTCGGCAACATCTTACGACTCGAATTCCAGCTCGTCTATTTGCACTGCCAGTAGCTGACCCTCGGACGACGCCTTCAGCTGGAACTGTTGCAGCACCAACGGCATCGCCCACACGCGATCTGTCAGTGCTGAACTTGCGTCAATTTCTATCACACATACAGATATGAGATATACACATGTGTATATCGACACTTTGGATGAGCCTAGATATACCCTATGGCTGCCTACAATTTGTTAAATTGCTGCAATTAATTTAATCAGCCTGTAACTGTTGCCTTTTGAAATGTTAAATAGAATGCAATGCATGCAGCTCGTTTGTGTGTTCCGCGTTTTTAATGTCGCATGTTTAATTGACTGTTAGCTGGAAATATCGATTTGTTGACTTTCAAATGCATTATTATTGTGGCTGTTGCCATGGTTAGAGACGCTCTAAAAACAACAGGTGCAGTTGGTATTTGCAAGTTATATAAGAATCATAAATCTAGATTGTTCGCTTTGATTTTGGATCTCTTTAGTAAAACACACATCTAATACATATATCTATTGTTTCGCTCAGAGACCCTTTCTGCTGGCTACGCCCCAATGAAACACCAGCAACATGTACATCTATCAAATTCGCGAAGTGTGATAAAGACATCCAAGTGACTTTACGAACAAAAGCTGAAATCTCAACTGCAAATACACACATACATATATTCATATATAATAAGCCAATTAGAGACAAGTTGCGAAAATGACAATAACATATACAGGTGAAGTGGCCACATGCCGTGGCTTTGGCTGTTTTCTCAAACTGCTGCTCAGGTAAGTGATCAAAGCTATATACATAGAATATAATACATA